GTGTGTGTGTGTGTGTGTGTGTGTGTGTGTGTGTGCATGTGCGGGAATCTCAACTCGACAACCAAGCAAGCTTCCTCGTTGAAATTTTGCAGTGGGTTCCCCGGCCAAGTGCCATTCTAGGAATGCGGCACCAACCTTCTCGTACGTCTGAGCCCCGTGTGCGAGCACGTGAAAATTTTGGCGGGAAAATCGCTAGCTCGGGGACCAGGAAAGCTGAGAGGCTGATATTTTAAGGGGATGTTCTTAGCCTAAGTACAACTTAAAGATTGCAAATACAGTCCCAGGTGCGTACGGTCCTCACGTGCGGTCTCGTGGAATTTTTGGCGAAAAAATTGCTAATTCGGGAACCGGAAAGGCTGGAAGGCTGAAATTTTAACGGGATGTTTCCTGTCCAGGTACTACATAGTTGCACAATTAATCTCCTGAACATCGAGGACTAGTATGTCACAAATCTCAGTTACTGGGATTCCAAACGATCTCATTACAGCACGAAATACTGCGAAAATGTATAACCGTACGGGCCGGCCTGATTCGCGTCGCCAATGTTTTTGTCTTGCCGTGATACTTTCTGCTAAGCATTTGGCAAGTCTCTGAAGATTTTTTTTCTTTTTCGGCAAGTCTTGTGGTACACAGTGGCACTAGTAGTCATCGTTGCATTCTCTAATGTGTACGGTTTCATCCCGCGATAGCTTTTTGGAGATACAGCGGCCCGACAGCTTGTGGAACTGAGAATCGGCGATCTGTCGAAAAGACTTCGGGGATGCGCAGCCGGGTCCCACTTATCCTGTTTCGCGGGACACCGGTCACTGAGTCATTGCACCGTTGCTGCGTTTATCACGGTCAAGTTACTCTAATAGGACAGTTTCGTAAATCATTCTAAATCTGCGACTGCCGATCAGTGGATGCCGTTCACGTTAGGCCGAGGGATTGGTGAGTCCAGATCTGACTTGCATTTCTTCCCTTGGGCGTCTTTATGAAGTCGTGCTTATGCCTCTTCTCCCAATTTGCTACTGGCCGCGCCTAGAAGTTTGAGCAACGTGGCAAGCACTGATTGCTCGAGATGGCGGGACCAGCACAGTCGTTTGCCGACTGCACTTGGTCGGGTGTTGCACTGTGCAGTGGCAGAATCTGCGCTGTTTGTTACGAGTGTAATGCACGGCGCAGAGGAGTGCTTGCGGTGCTGAGTCTTCGGTCGTTTCGGTGCGCCTGGCCCACCCACGATGTTTAGTCGCAGCGCGTTCTCGGCGATCCCTTGGCTCAGATCCGAACCCACAGGTGGTCAGCGGTTCTGTTGTGCGCACGGCCCTCAGCGTTCTCCGCACGCGGTCACCACTTCCGCTTCTGATCGCTCACCGTCGAGATGTGTTGAGCCGCGGCTGCTACGGCCGCTGCTGCATCGTAGCAGCTTCCTTGCGCATGGCACTCCATCAAGAGGAATGTGGCATCGCACGGCTGCCGGCGTCCGCTTGTTTACTTAGTTCCACACCGATTTTCCGCACTATCGGGAAGAAACGAAAAACGGGAGGCTGGTAAAATCGGCAGCGCTAGGACTGCGGATAGGCGTCGCTCGTCCGCGCCACTGGCTGTCCTTTCTCATCTGGCTGTGTTTGGGGCGACGGGCTGCTACTTCCGTGCGCAGCGTTTGCTGGAGGAGCGGAGCAGTGTCGAAATTCCGAGACCGAGGAAGTACTCCTTGTCGGCAAAGACTACAACTCGGCTCGGCTGGTGGTCGTTGGTGCTTGGGAAGCTCTCTATCATCTCTGGCAACGGTGTTTCGTGGCGTCGTCCACGGGGGTCGTTTGGCAGCCTGCCAGGAAAGCAGGGTAACGTTACTTAGGCTGCAGTGGCTGTATGGCCTGACTGGTGGGAAGGCGGGAAAGTAGAGGGGCAGCCGTGGTTGTGGGGGTGAGCGGCGGCTAGTGGATGTACAATTGTCTTCTCCGCCCCCTTCTCTCTTCCTAAGCAACAAATTTTCCCATTTCCCCTCCCCCCTGGTAGTGAGGACTGAGAGTAGTGGGCGACCAAACTCGCCCCCGCCACTCAGTCCCCTTAATTCGCGCCCCTCCTCCCCCCTGGTTGTGAGGACTGAGGGCAGTGGGCGAACAACTCGCCCCCGCCACTCAGTCCAAGTGGACGGAAGAGACTGAGTTTTGTGCCCAAAAACTGGGGTTATGTACGGGAAGAATGTGGGCGTAGCCAAGGTAGGAGGTTTATAGATGACCTCAAGGGGCTGTAAAATGCGCCTATCCTGATACGTTACACGTCACATATGCGTGACCTGAAAAGCCATAAAAACCCTTCCCCTTTGCTTCTTTTAACTTACGTTGGCACCACATTCAAACTCCGTCATTCGCCGTGGGGCAACCCTACCCGCCTTCCGGAAAAAAATTTTTTTGCAGCTCCTGTGTGAGATGGGCCGAGCCGAGCCGTGTTTTAGTAACTAATTCGTTATGGGGCAGGCGGAGTGCTACCACTGGTGCGAAGGGGGTCTTACTTCCTTGAGGCGTATTGACCGGGTCAGGTTTCGTTAAATCTGATAACAATCATTCAGGTGCCCAGCTGTCGAGCTCTGCCTACCGGGTTCGCTCAGTGTCCCTGGCTGTAGTGCCCCACTTCCTCGTTTCTTCAGTGCAGCTCATTGCGGTCGCCAAAATTGACGCATTTTCAGATGGAACTACCGAACTTTGAGACGTGTGATGTTTGTGGCGAGAAACTGAGCGCATTTAAAATGGACGCGGTGGATCCGCCAACATTTCTGCTTCCGTGTCTTCACGCATTTTGCGCGGCGTGCATTGCAAGATGTGAGAAAGGTTTGTCGGAGCTCTGAATTCATTTCGGCTTCTCGTTTCTGCCAGCTGCCTTCCGCATAGCACTTCCTTCTGCCCCGAGAAAGTGACCGATGGCGTGTGAAGTTCGGTGGGAATGCTTTTGAAAATCAGTTGAATGTGGCGCTGCAGACGTGCCGCTGTGAGACTTCTTTGAACGAATGGGAGGCGGATGTGTGCTGGCTCGGCTTTGGCGTCCTCGCTCTTCTCATGGCTGGCTGCTGCGTCACATTGTTTGTTTGCAGCATCGGAGAATGTGAGCACGATGATCTGCGTAATTTGCCGCGCCGAATTTGCTCGGTTGCAGGCTCTGGTTGTTCCACGCTTTGATGCCCTTTCTTACAAGTGAGTTGTTTTGTGACTCGTCTTCTCTGGCACTTCTTCGATTTAGCTATTACATTGCACTTTTGATGCTCCTGAAGAAGTTGTATCAAAAGGAGCAGAATTCGACAGAAAATAAAAAGGGTCACAGGGATGAATCAAAAGAATGCAAAATTTAGCATTTTGGGAGGTTAATTTATTGGCTAACTAGTCGTGCGTTAAGAGACATTCACTTCAGGTCATAGATGTTAAACTGTCTTTCGATAAATTTGGTAGCGTTGAATTCTCCATTGCAGCTCTGCAAAGCGCGGAGGAGGGGAAAGAAGAAAAGTAGGGCGAAGCACTGTTAAGGGAATGAGACGTTGAAATTGACTCTCCTTTCTTCAACGGTGCAATTTACCTGTGCAGAATCACTGTTCATCGCCTTTTACACTTTCGCCCCGCTTCGCTATGGTACTTGCAGTGATTTTTGCAGTCACTGAGGAGATTCGAATGGAACTCACACATTGAACATCAGTACTTAAGATGTCTTGAATCATCTCACACCCCCGTTTACCCCGATCGTTCATTCTACTCGTTTTCAAAAACCGAACCGAACTTAGGTCCTGCAGCTGCGGCAGACGGACTTTCTGAGTTTCATCCTAAAATACCGATCCTCTGCATTGAGGCAGCACAGGTCGTGTCGTTTTTCTTATTTCTTCATCATTCCCGTGCGTTATATTGCTATGCATTGTCGTTAAAAAAGGATGCGGCTTGCCAATAGTCACAACATTTTGACGAAGTGATAGTCAGATCTTCTCATCCATATGCCGCGCTTATAAGAACTTGCTGCAAAGCTGTATGCGCAGTGTTTGGCTTGTTGCAGTCGATGTAAGAGATAGAGGCACCCGGCTGTGGTCCAAGTGACCTGACCTCGTCAACAGTATCTGTCTGCTGGACTAAGGCTCTCCGCTCTTCCACAAGTTGCTTGGGAGGCGTGTTGAAAGCGGTTTGACCCTGCCTGGTTATGCAGGATTTTGCGACCAGGACGGATCGTGGAAGTACTGACAGCCCTGTTAACGGATTAGAAGCAGCGGTTTGAGGTAGACAGTGAGTGTTTGTGAAATGTATTGTCTGATATGTGTCGGTCGGTATCTGGGTTGGGATTGCCATTTTTACTGAAGGCGGAGAAATACGTATACTTCAGTATTTGCTTACATTGCTCCTTTTTATGCGCTTTGTGCTGTGCAGCAACTGCAAAAAACGCATATCATCACGGAGTTGTCTGTGTTTGATTGTGTGTCCGCAGCAACTTGTCCGCAACTTTCAACTCTGATACTACAAAAGCTAGGAAACTGAAAATTTAGAGTTGTGTTTCCCGCTGTGTGTGACCCCGCAAA